GCACCAGCATGTTTTCAGCATGCCAAAGGCTCGTTCTACTATGCTTCATGCACGGCAGTGCTTGTTGTTGAAATGAGTCTGCACAGAGTTCTGTACAGGCTCTCTGTACAGGGTGATGAGGCAGATAGGTGGCAAGGATAGCCTCGATGTCCCTTTCCTATTCATGATCAGATTCTAGTCTGACTTCATCAATGAGGAACTTGATGGACAGGTGACAACGACAGGAGAAGGTGGGCACGGTGGTCAGCTGCTGCATCAGAATAAAGCTGCAGTATTGGCCCAGTTGTGTTGAGATGGCAGTAAATATATAATTGTTGGAACAATAAGTTTGAAAAAAGCTTTGTTTCATGTGTTGTTCACTTGTATATGTATTTATTTATTGTGATTGTTACTTTTATTCATTATTTTTAATCATTAATTTCATGTCACCTATTGTTGTCAGTAAATAAAATATAATTTATGCATTAATGATTGCTTGACTGAATATTGAGATGTATTCACCTTGGCTGCATTTGTCTAGTGTGTATTCATGCATAGCTATGTCATATGACAAAACAAATGACATTTTGCTTGTTTTACTAAAACATATCAATTTCAGTAAAATAAAAATAAGTAATATAATTAATTATTGGTCAGCATTTATCATTATTATTGTGAGTATAAGTGTTGGGTCTAGCAATGCAGTTCATTATGGGGTAATCTTAATTTTTAAGTATACCAAAAGTAGCTCAAATGGTGATGCATTGCAGTCACAGACCTCTCTGATGGAATACAATAGTTTTGTGTGAAGAACAGAGCAGAACTTGAGTTGTTAATGGCTGAAAGTATTAGCTAGATTATTATCCCGATCCAATACGCACGCATTTCTCATTCAAACACACCTCACATAAACACGGCATGTCACAATCTGTGGCAAGAGCCAATGAGTGTTTGATTTTACTGCCACAAAACCTGTTGTAAAACTTCTTGAAGCAGGATTTTTTTTTTTATTTGTAATGAGCGCATCAGCGTGGGTTTCGGAATGCCTTTTGTGTCCCACAGCAAACAGAGTAAATATTACATGATAAGTAATGGTTAAACAATTGTGGAAATGTTATTAATTTTAAGGGTTTAAAGTGGAGTCATTATGTATTCTTCTAAACGAGTTGTAAATGTGAGATGGAAGGACCTAAATAGGACCAAAAAATAACATTCTAGTTTGGTCCCCTAAAGGTCCTGCAAACATTATGAGTATGTAGTGTAGATACCTAGAGGGAACATCCTATAGTAATGGTCCCTTAAACATTCCCAGAACATCCTGAATGCTCCTGAAGGTCCATCAAATAACGTCCCCCAACCCTTTAACCCTTTAACGTGCATTGTAACCGCACGGTTGACCTTTTTTCGCGATCACATTTCTGTAATTAAAACTCGCCAAACTGCAGTTTTGGCTGTTTGTCTTTATACCCCTCATTGAATAGAGGGTGTAATTTCAATTTTATCCACTGGGTGGCTATGCTGCAAGGATATATTTGATGCTGAGGAGCCGAAACAAAACCGGAAGTGTATTGATGTGGCGCTCTCTTCAAACCCTTGCCGCTAGTGACGCTGAAAGTTGAGGTAAGATTTTTATACATCTGATTTCATGTTCTAGACCTCCTAACACTATATTTTGTTGAATGGCAGAAGCATGGTGATAAAATTAATCTCTGTGTTACCTCAGAAAATGTGCTTGACCGCTCGGTCGAGTTGCCCAGTTAGGGTAAAATGAATTGACGCTAGTTCAGCAATGAGATCATAAACTGGCATACAGCCAGTTTCCTCACTAAACTGAATTTGTATGTATTTTACCCTTATTTACACAGTATTTGGTTTTACCATCAGATTGTCATATCTTTAAATCAGTTTAATCCTTACATAATTTGACATGAGCTAGTACTTATTATTTCTACAATAGCCATTGTATCCGAGTCTTTTTGGAATAACATAAAATAGCTATAGCTACAGCTTTCTAGATGGGTAGTTAGCTATAAACATTCAATTTTCTGTTCAGTAATCTGACAAATATAACATGTTTATGAGTTTGCAATTAAAAGGATGGATGGACATTTGTCCATATTTTATTTAGCACAGTAAAATTACCTCATCATTCACACTGAAATATTTTGTCTCTTGTTATATCTAGTTTCATAGTTGTGTGTTATTTAATGTATCATACACAATACACAAAATATGTATTAGTATTAGTACCATTTTTCTTATCAATTTATATGAAATCTCAATGTGTCTATGTTGGCAAAACAGTTTATCAGTATGACAATTTTTTTATTTTTATGGATAGCTGATTTTTATACATCTGATTTCATGTTCTAGACCTCCTGACACTATATTTTGTTGAATGGCAGAAGCATGGTGATAAAATTAATCTCTGTGTTACCTCAGAAAATGTGCTTGACCGCTCGGTCGAGTTGCCCAGTTAGGGTAAAATGAATTGACGCTAGTTCAGCAATGCGATCATAAACTGGCATGCAGCCAGGTTCCTCACTAAACTGAATTGTATGTATTTTACCCTTATCTACACAGTATTTGGTTTTACCTTCAGATTCTCATATCTTTAAATCAGTTTAATCCTTACATAATTTGACATGAGCTAGTACTTATTATTTCTACAATAGCCATTGTATCCGAGTCTTTTTGGAATAACATAAAATAGCTATAGCTACAGCTTTCTAGATGGGTAGTTAGCTATAAACATTCAATTTTCTGTTCAGTAATCTGACAAATATAACATGTTTATGAGTTTGCAATTAAAAGGATGGATGGACATTTGTCCATATTTTATTTAGCACAGTAAAATTACCTCATCATTCACACTGAAATATTTTGTCTCTTGTTATATCTAGTTTCATAGTTGTGTGTTATTTAATGTATCATACACAATACACAAAATATGTATTAGTATTAGTACCATTTTTCTTATCAATTTATATGAAATCTCAATGTGTCTATGTTGGCAAAACAGTTTATCAGTATGACAATTTTTTTATTTTTATGGATAGCTGTACCTGAGGCACTGAATAATCAAGACACAGTTTTTCATTTTTGTGTATAGTAATGTTTATTATGTGCCATGTCTTTCAGGCATAATGGACTGTCGATCATTTTATGGACGCCCCAGACCTACATCCACAGCCTACAGCACTATTTCACTTTTACCTGCTGATCCATGTGATTCTGAGGTTGAAGATCTCAGTGATCCAGACGATGAAAATTATGATCATGTCCCTCCACCCAGCGAAGATTTGATGCCCCCTCCAAAGAAACGGAGAAATAGGAACAGGCTTGTTGAAGTCTCTACAGACCTCTATCAAACTCCCTCCCATCCTGCAAAGTCCAGAAAGACCAAAAAGACCACATGGGTAAAGAAGGACATTCCACCTTTCACTGTGTCCGAGCCTGTCTTCATGCTTCCAGAGTCAGTCCAGTCACCATTTATGTATTGGAAGAGGCTCTTCACTGACCAGATGATTGAGCACATAACTGAGCATACCAACCAGTACTCAGTTCAACAGACCGGGACATCCATCAACACCACAGTTGCTGAAATGGAAGATTTTTTGTCAATTTTGCTGTACATGGGAGTTTTTGAATTTACCTCTTTAGAAGAGAGTTTTTGAATTTCCCTCTTTAGAAGATTACTGGGCCTGTGAGTCACGATTCCCACCAGTGGCTGATACCATGTCAGTGAAGCGTTTTAAAGTGCTACGAAGACATGTCCACTTCAATGACAACTTCCAGATGGAAGGCTGCACTGACCGCTTCCATAAGATTCGCCCTCTTTTAGACATGCTCAGAGAACAATGCCTTCTCATTCCCCCCACCAACAGGCAGAGTGTTGATGAAGTGATGGTGGCTTACAAGGGCACCAGAGCTGGCAAACTCCGGCAGTATATTAAAAACAAGCCGGATAAGTGGGGATTTAAGATCTTCTGTCGGGCAAGCTCCATTGGCATTATCCACGACTTCATCCTTTACCAAGGGGCCACAACATTCTTCAACATTCAAGAGGAAGAGCATGCCCATCTGGGCTTGGGTTGCATATCACCAGAGTTGAATGTATTACAAAGAAGTCTCTGTGATTAAGGAAGTCTTTTATTTCAACAGTTTTTCAATAAAAGCATTTGCTACTGTAAATGACTAACAAAAACCATCAAAAAGTAGAAATTATGAAAGGGACAGTTTACCACAAAATGAAAATCCTGTCATCATTTACTCACCCTCAAGTTGTTCCAAACCTGTATGAGTTTTTTTCTTCTGTTGAACACAAAATAATAAATTTTGAAGAATGTTGGTAAGGCCTGGGACACACTAGACAGTTTTCAAGCCTTAAAGGGTTAGTTCACCCAAAAATGAAAATTCTGTCATTAATCAATTTTAAAACCATGGGAGACCACAGACATGAAGACAGTGTCAACTGACTTTTAGCCTTATAATCCTCTCAACGGGCACCCTAGATGATTCGACCAGACCGGGAGACCACACACTTGCTGATTGTAGGAATGATTTCTCAGTGACACGAGATCTCATGGAGACTTGTGAGATCAAATGTGACTAAAGAAGAAAAACACATGGAGCACAGTCAACGTTGTCAGCTGGCTCTCCTGCCACATGTTCTGTTGTACAGTGAAAAACAAAATAGAAAAAATATATATCTGTGATATTCTTTCTCAGTACATTACTTTGGCGGCATGTTTGTGGCTGCCAAGTTTCAGCTGTAGAAGCACATCTGATAGGTGACGCTTGCCAAATCTCATTGGCTATCGCGGGTATCTCGTCAGAGGCAGCCTGATCAAGAGTCGTTAATATCAAATATGTTTGAGTTTGGGGACGCTCCGTCTTGATTGGGAGCAGTTAAATAATCACAATGACACCACACAATAGAGGATTTTTAGGGCAAAAAATAGTTTGCGACAAACCTTGAATCAGGGTTAAATCTGGCTTAAAATCAGCCAGCCTAACCACACAGTTACTGTTAGCAACTTACTTCGATACTAGGGGAAAAAATCTATGTAAGTCAATGGTTACGGTCAACTGTATGGTTACCAACATTCCTCAAAATATCTTCTTTTGTTCAACAGTGAACTATCCCTTTAACATGCATGCCTTCTAGGTTTATCAGGTGTCACAAGGGCTTGGTTGGACAAACAGTGTCGAGGGATGAGGCCAGTATGGCAAGAGAAAGGAAAGTCAGAGCTCATCTCTCTGTTCTGTTTAACTATAAAAAGGTCCAATTCAAATAGCCTAGAAGAGACAACACAGCTGGCCCAAAGCTCATCAGGCAATGTCCCCTGCTGATTAATGACCTTTCCATCGCAACAGGAGCCGCCAGGAAGATGTGCAATTTGCTAAGAGAACCTTTAGCACAGTGTCCTTAGCACATTCAACATGCAACTGTTGTCTAAATGTGCAATTACAGGGCAAAGGTGGGTACAGCACTAATGATATGCCTGCTAGAAAATCCATTTTAGGCTAACTGAATTGTAATATAATATCTCAAGGTGATCTCATTAAAACTTTTAGGTATTTGTATGGAAAGATGTTCAAGTAAACATACATTTTTGTACATTTGGATAGACACTAAAACATGCATTAATAACATATTGACACCACCTGTTTTTGTTTTTTTTTCATTTGATTTTTTTCAAATGGAAAACAAGAATTAAGCTTGATTTCTTCTATACAGTTCATTTTAATTCTGTCGTTAATTCTTTCCAAACAGGAAATGGTCAAAACATACGTAGACTGATATCTTTTAATCAAATGCAGTTAAAAGAAAATGAGTAGAATGAGCATAATTACAGTCATTTCAAATAAATGTTTCTTTGCTTTTAGGCACAACAGAGAGATGCAGATCTGGCTTGACAACACCAGGTCCTTCTGGGTTCTATTTGAAAGATGTTTGGAAGTCTTTTGTATGCAAACCCCAGCAGTTAAATTGTACACGAATGGGAAATTGTCTTAAAAATAAGATTGTCTACAGGATGGGAGACTCCACCACAAGGCAGTGGTTTGAGTATTTATAAAGAAAAGTGCCAGTCAAGTTGTTCAGTGACATAAATGACTTTGATTTGGGGGTGGGTACTTTTTTCTCTCTTAAAAAATTGTCATATTGTTGAAGAATTGATAGCATGAATGTATAAAATTAACTAAATTAGAAATCAACCGAGATGCCACACAAAGTATCTGGACACTTTTTAAAATAAACAGGTTTTAAAATTGCACTCAGTAATTTTTCCTCATTGCAAAAAGCCATTACAGAAAATGGCTAATGCAGCATTTGTTTGCAGAAGCTACTTGGTTTGGTATTTTGTGTCTAATGCATTGAAACATGTACTGTACATAAATCAGTGCAACTTAAAGGGATAGTTCACCAAAAATACAAATTATGTCATCACTTATTCATAGTCATGCTGTTCCAAACCCATAAGACTGTATTTATGCTGTGGAACACAAAAGAAAATATTTTGGGGGAAAAAAAAGTTTTTTTTTTTTCTTTTTTCTTTCTTTTCTTCTGTACATTGAAAGTCAGTGAGGTTCAGTGTTGTTTTGCACTATAAGGAAAAAGACCACTGAAACGTTCTTCAAAATATCTTTTGTGTTACAGATAAAGAAATAAAATCATACAGGTTTGGGACATCGTGAGGGTGAATAATACAATAGGGGCCTGACGTATACAATAGGTAAAATCAACTTTGTAAAGCTGTTTAAGAAATTATAGTAAAGCAATGAGTCTAATGTTTTACTTAAAAAGATAAAGATAAAAAGAATGGACCTCCACACTCCTCGTTTGGGTGGACCCCTGATGACTGTGGAGTTGAAAAATAATATTTTTCACTTGAGGCCACATGGTCTTCCTTTGCAATTTTATAAAATGCTCATTACCTACCTGTATTATATCGGCAATGATATTGATGAAATAGTTGGTGGTCATCATGCAGTTGTTGTCTTTACAATCTTTGCACGCCAAATTTTTCACCTATTAACTTTTTATGTGCATGAAGTGGCCAAAATCTGGCAATCTGTTGGGAGATAGATTGGAGAAATAAGTTTTTAGACAGCTGTCATGGCAGTTCCTAACCCATTTTCTAAGGGTACTGTGTGGTCAGTTAAACTAAAGATTAGGCTCGGACAACTATGGAAACCCAAGTATAAACTGAAATTCTGGGATGGAGTAGATCGAAAAACAGTCGCTCTAGCTGATGATTTATTTGAAGATTGAGTTTAGCTGTATCCTAATGGATGATTCCCAGACCCAGTCCTCCATCTGATGCAGTGACTTTCAATGATCTGATACCTAGATAAAGGCTGTATTGTGAAGCTGTCTATAAGCTGTGTATAATGAGATATGTCTGGGTAGATTACTAAACTGGTCTAAGCTCATTGCTATTAGTAATCATTCAGTGCAAGCTGGCGAACAATCTTGAAACAGCAGCAAATCAACAACTAATGTGTCACAGCTTATTAAGCGGTAATAGTAATAATAATAATAATAAATGTTTATTGTTGGAACAATGGTGGCTGTTTAATTGTAACTAGAGTCAGATTTTGAAAAAAGGAGAATGACACATGGACATCAGCAGCCAATGTCAATCATGCCATTCTGCATTGTGTAACAAAATTACAGCTGTTTTTATCTTTTTCCACCTTAGCATGGCATTAATTTTGAAAGCATCCCTTGTCTGCAAAATGAGCAGCAGGTAACTTCGGTTTTGCTGTCATCGTCACTGACAATCACAGCAAACAGCCTAATGTCACAGGGGAATGAACATCACTGCTTACAAAAAAAAAGAAAAAAAAAAAGATGAAACATAAATCAGCTTGTTAACATTCCTCTGACCGGGTCTTGTTCTAGGCACCAATAAGGACTGACGTTATGTGTGTTTGTGTGGCAGAACTACAGTCATAAAGGCTACAAGAACTCAACTAATAGGCCATAGAGGGACACAGTGGCCAATATATTTATATGAGTCTACATGTTCCTAGATGTGTTCATCAGCTCAACATTCTCAAAGGTAACATTACCGGAGTATTGTTGCCAACTTTTTAAAAGGTGCATGTGTATACAAACTGTATGTACTGTCAAGACACTGTGCAGTAACGTTTTTGATTCTGGACCGCTTCTTCCATGTCTGCACTGGCCAGTGTAATGCTGGTAATCTTTGTTTGGGCTACACAAAAGCACATCATACCAAACTTCATAGCCTTGGATATTAGTTATGCCCAGCTTCACAATACAGCCTTTATCTAGGTATCAGATAATTGAAAGTCACTGCATCAGATGGAGGACTGAGTCTGGGAATCATCCATTAGCATAATTGTTCCAGCCCAATCTTCATTTTACTGACCATATGGAACCCTTAGAAAATGAGTTGGGAACTGCCATGACAGCTGTCTAAAAACTGATTTCTCCAATCTATGTTCCGAGTCTTGAGTTCTTGCTACTCCAGTTTGCTCCTCAACATCATTCTCTGAAATTTGAAGAGATTCTTTAATTAAATTCAATTAAATTCAAGTTTATTTGTATAGCGCTTTTCACGATACAAATCGTTGCAAAGCAACTTTACAGCAAATTAAGTTTCTACAATATTTAGTGGTATCTTATCAGTGGTGACTGTCAGTTAATGTACATATGGCAGAAATGTACGGAAAAATCAATTAAAGACGTAATCAAACAGACAATGAACACTATTAACAGCAATTATTAAATGATGCAATCAAACTTATAGCAAAATGTGGTAGTTCAATATGTTGTTTCAGGGTTGGCATCATCTGAGGTCCTCTGAGGGGTTGGCATCATCTCTTCTCAGGTGTTCTGGATCCAGACTGAAGCATGTGTAAATCCTAGTTACCACGGGATGTCAATCCCAGCAGAAACAGAGAAACAAATAGAGACATAATTAGCGTAGCTGCTGTTCCAACCAAGCAAAATTGATTTGTTTAACCCAAACTAAAGAATAATAATGTGCATTTGATCAGATATAACTGCAGTACAAGATTATGAGATGCATTATGTCATTCTTTAGACATGACTCTTGACTATAGTAACTTGCTATATACAATATTCTTGGTTAATCAGTTCCATTATATAATGATTTTTAATTGATACAACAACTTTGCAAATGTTTCTGCATTACAGACATAGTTTTGAAAGATAAAAGGGTCTTTACATATATTTTATTTCAGAAAAGAAGAGTAGAGTAATTTCTGTGGTAACTGACATTATGCACCACATTTACTGTCAATAACTTTTTGAACCGGAAACATTCTTATATTTTCTTTTAGTGCCATCAGCAGACTCCTATAATTCCTTGGGGAAAAAAATTGTTAATTTACAGTATATGACTGCTGAAACTCAAGTGTAATAACTGCTTTTTGAGAGTGTGCGAGAGCTAAACGGCCTATTTAATTAAACTCTGCGGACCCGGATACGGGTCCAAAGCCACATAAAAAATGTTTATGCTTCATTTGCAAAGCCTTCCTTATATGGTATCAGCCCATATATGGTATCATTTGAAAGTTTAGAGTCTCATCTTTACAAAGAATACCATAAAAAATGATACATAAAGTAGTAAGTCATCATTGCAAATCATAGCAGCTCCAGCCAGCGTCTCTTATGTTTTACAAATCTGGGCTACTCTAGGCCACTCAGTGGGCTGCAACAGGTCAGATTACACGACACTCAAGCGCCTATGTTTTTTTTTAGTGTTTATTGTAATATTTAAAACCTGTATAATGCTATTTATGAAGAATTACAATCATATTTTGTACTTCAAAGGGTTTTCTATACAATGACACCATTTTTTTTCTTCATTTCCTCCATTGTATGTGTGTAGGGTAAACATTTGAATTTGGGTATGTCAAATTTAGGCGAAAATACAAAATAAATAAATAAATAAATAAAAACCGCCCCAGAGCTTATGGGGTTTTAATGAGAGTTTGGCAGCTCCATATGGTCACCACCTTCAATCAGCCCTCACAACTTGCATGAAAAGACCTCTCCTGCCAAGTGCACTGAACCATGCCAATCAGAGTAGACTCCATGCTGCTAGAGGTGAAGACAGTACATTAAACCCTGAATTACAAGCTGACCATATTTCTGAAATGAAAAGTCTGCTTTAGAAGTTCATTAAATTGAACACCGTATTACACCAGTAATAAAATTTGCAATCTACTTTATACAAATGATCATATTTGTACTGCAATACTGAAAACCATGTTTGGGGTAAGCTGAAAAAAAAATTGGCGAATTAAATTATATTTACTGTACTGCTTATTGCAACATACAAAACACTTTATTTACAAATTAGTATGTTAACACATTTATGCTTTTGCGTTTGTAATGCAGTTAATTAAAAAAAAGGTCTGGGTCAAAATAGTCTGTTTTTATTTATGTTGTAGATGACAAAGCAAGGCAAATATTGTTTGAATGTATTAAGCAGGACAGACACATGAGAGAAACATGTTGATTTCATTAACAGACAACAGGCCCTGGGTGAATATTTTCAGTAAGCCAAACATCTAAGTAGATACTCCATCAACACCTCTGAACATCTCCTGCATCACTGTGTAAGGCTGCATTGCATACCAATCACTTTGGAAAATATTCTGTAATGATATAGATCAATAACAAAAGATAATGTCAGATGTGAAATTAGAATTATTTACAGTATATATATATATATATTAGTGCTGTCAAAAGATTAATCAAAATTACTAATTAATCGC